GAACCACGCAGTTGTTAAGTGAATCTGGCTTCCCCCATTGACTGCTTGTCAGGAGCTGGCTGGGAAGGTTCCAAAACGTGATCAGGTCACACACACACACACACACACACACACCAGGATGCTGCGACAGTTGTGAGAAAAACCAGCCTTAACATGCTATTTTTAATGCTGTCGTAACTTCGAACAGTCACTATATGAATGGTTGTAAGCCGAGGACTACTTGTCGTAATGAACTGCTGCTGTTTTGGTACTCCAGAATTATCTCTTTGGCTCCCGTTGTTCTCTGGCCTGAAAAGGGCGGTGGATAAGTACCAGAGAGAAACTGAGTCAGACCCTTTCTGCATCGTGGAGAGTGCATTCATGGACTCTTGAATTGCCTACACTCTCCCCCCAGTCCAACCAGTTGCATACTGGGAAGGTTGGTCATTTAAGACCAGTTTGTTCCTTCTTCCTTCTTCCCTTCCCTTTCACCTTTCCTTCCTTCCTTCCAACCCTTCCTTCTTTCCTTCCCTCCCTCTTCCCTTTCTTTCTTTCTTTCTTTCTTTCTTTCTTTCTTTCTTTCTTTCTTTCTTTCTTTCTTTCTTTCTTTCTTTCTCTTTCTTTCTTTCTTTCTTTCTCTCTCTCTCTCTTTCTTTCTTTTCTTTCCTCTCTACCTTTTTCTTTTCTTTCTTCTGTCTCCCTCTTTTCTTCTTTTCATCTATCTTTCCTCTTCCTCCTCACACTCCCCTCTCTTTCCCTTCCCCTCCCTCCTTTTCCTCTCTCCCTCTCTCATTCCTTCCTTTCCCCCTTCTCTCCCTTTCATTTTTCCACCCCTTCTTCCTTGCCTTCTTTCCTTCCTTCAGCTGAAGCTCACCATCCCGGCGTACGCGGCTAGGAGCTCCACTCTCTTCAGGGCCCTTGAAACTTCCAACGGTCACTAAACGAACGGTTGTACGTCGAGGGTTCCCTGTAACAGAATAATAGTGTTACCAGTACTGCTTGGTGAAGTTTCTCCTGTGCTAATTATCTCCCCATGTGCAGTCCTTGCAACTGCTGAAAAAAATACAACTTTGCAATTAATTCTTTTGCAGATTGTGTAGTCAGCCTCCTGCCCTGTCTTTTCTCTGCTTTTATCTCTGTCTTTCCTTCGTTTATCCTGCTTTTTATACAGTTCCTCTCTTTATTCCCAATTTCCTCCCTTCAGTTTCCGGAGCTAATGATGCCTCCCGTCATCTGACCGTACAGAAAGTCCTCAACTTACAACAGTTTGTTTAGTGACTGTCTGACGTTACGAAAAAGTGGCTTATGACCGTTTTTCATACTTACGACAGTTGTAGCATCCCCAGGGTCACGTGATCAAAATTCAGACGCTTGGCAACTGACTCATATTTATGACGGTTGCACTATCCTGGGGTCATGTTTAAGTGACCTTCTGACGAACAAAGTCAGATTCGCTTAATGGCCGTGTGACTAATTTAACAACTGCAGTGATTCACTTAACAACTATGGCAAGAAAAGTAGTAAAATGGGGCAAAATTCATTGAACAAATGTCTCACATAGCGAAATAAATTCTGGGCTGGATTGTGGTCGTATGTCGGGGACTAATTCTACCTGCTCTTTAATTTTTCAACCTAAAATCCACCTGATGATCTTTAAGACGGGAAGTTTTTGGCCCTTCCTTGAGCGAAGAGGCAGACCAGCGAAAATAAAGTCCTGTGGAGTCCATAGCAAACTCTGAAAATGATTTCAAGCTTCTATTCGAAAGGACACATTTTTGAAAATATTTTTAAAATTATTATTATTTTTAGAAACTTACATGTAGTCCTCGACTTACGACCACAATCGAGCACCAGATTTCCATTGTTAAGTGAGTTTTGCCCCATTTTATGATGTTTCTTGCCACTGTTGTTAAGTGAATCATTGCGGTTGTTAGGTTAGTAACACCGTCCTTAAGTGAATCCGGCTTCCCCATTGACTTTGCTTGTCAGAAGGTCGCAAATGGGGATCATATGACCCCCTGGGACACTGCAACCGTCATAAATATGAGTCAGTTGCCAAGCATTTGAATTTTGATCACATGACCGTGGGGATGCTGCAATGGTCGTAAGCATGAAAAATGGCCATAAGTCACTTTTTTCAATGCCGTTGTAACTCAAACAGTTACTAAACAAATGGTCGTAAGTTGAGGACTACGTGTAATCGCAAATTAGTTTTCATTGCAAGTTGGCCTGTTTCGCTGCTTGGCATGTTGGCATCTTGCTTGGCAACTCCTATGGGTTCTCTGCTTTATTTGTTTTTATTTCATTTATTTTTTGTCCCTTTATTATTATTTTTATAAATAACTCAAGGTGGCGAGCATAGCTAATATTCTTTTTTCTTGCTATTTTCCCCACAACAACAATCCTGTGAGGTTGGCTAGACGGAGAGAGAGGGACTGGCCCCAAATCATCCAGAACTAGAACTCACCGTCTCCTGGTGATTGGCTAGAGTCAGCCAGACAGTTTTCCTGCCTAAGGCGGGGCTAGAACTCACCATCTCCTGGTGACTGGCTCAAAGTCACCCAGCCGGGTTTCATGCCTAAAGTGGGACTAGAACTCACCGCCTCCTGGTGATTGGCCCAAAGTCACCCAGCTCCTTTTCAAGTCTAAGGCGGGACTAGAACTCACCGCCTCCTGGTGATTGGCCCAAAGTCACCCAGCCGACTTTCATGTCTAAGGTGGAACTAGAACTCACCGTCTCCTAGTGATTGGCCTGAAGACACCCAGGGACATACAACAAAGTCACCTGCAGAATTTGCTGATAACCTACGGAGGGAGGAAAGCAAGCCGAGCACAACTAAGAGGTTGGTTGAATTATAGAATCTTAGAGCTGGAAGGGACCTTAGAGGTTTTCTAGTCCAGCCCCCTGCTCAAGCAGACAAGTGGCTGTCCAGTCTCTTCTTAACAGCTTCCAGTGGTGGAGGGCCCACAGTTTCGGAGGCAAGTCCTTCCATTGATTAATTGTTCTCACTGTCAGGTAAGACTTGCTGGGTGCCAGGAAAAAGAGGCAGCTGCTTTAATAACCCTCCTCTCTAAAAGAGCTTTTCCAGCCATTTGAATCGCTTGCTAGCGGCTTGAGTAAACTCCCTTTTTACAACTCGGTAATTCTTTAATTCTGTTCGCTGGCGTGGCTTCCAAAATCCTTTTTCCTATTTTTTTTTTTTTTTTTAATGATGCACGGTCCCAATCTCCCCCTTATCATTTGGCAGGCCTCCCCTGTTCTCAAAGGAGTTTCCCCCCCCCCCCCCCCCCCCTTGGCAGTTCCCCCCCCCCCCAAAAAAATGCAACTTCTAAATTCATTCCAAAGGAAGCATAGCCAAATCTTGAAGGAAAACCTTTGTCTTTTGTTTGAAGAAGGACAGATAGTGGGTTTGTTTTTTTGTTACCATGCAGAATTTCAGACATCCTGCTCCGGTCAGTTTCAAGTCTGTTTTTTCTTCTTCTTCTTCTTCTTCTTCTTCTTCTTGATCTGCTGAACATCAGGTACATCCATCACCAGGTGGATGGTGGGGTTTCCTCTGGGCCAAAATTTTTGGCTTTGTTCGAACCTCTGTCCGGCTTTTTTTGGTGTTTCCTTTTCTGCCAAAGGTTTCCACTCAGGGGCTTTGCCTGGACACGTGCTCGACATATGGTTCTCATTAGTCATGCCTTCCGTCCTTCGAATCCGTTACCAGGGCCCAGACTGGTAGGCTTAAGTTTTGAGCTTAGTGGAGGGGAAGCAAAAAGCGGAAAGTTAACCAGAGGGATTTTAAGGGAGGCTTAAGAAAAGGGGTTTGGATTTTCTTTCTTTCTTTCTTTCTTTCTTTCTTTCTTTCTTTCTTTCTTTCTTTCTTTCTTTCTTTCTTTCTTCCTTCCTCCCTTCCCTTCTTTCTTTCTTTCTTTCTCTCCCCCTTTTTCTTCTCTCCCCTTCCTTCCTTCCTTCCTTCCTTCCTTCCCTTTTCTTTTTCTTTCTTTCCTTCCTTCCTTCCTCTCTCCCTCTTTTCTTCTCTCTCCTTCCTTCCTTCCCTTTTCTCTTTCTTTCTTTCTTTCTTTCTTTCTCTCCCCCTTTCCTTTCTTCTCTCCCCTTGCTTTCTTCCTTCCCTCTTCTTTTCTTTCTTTCTTTCTTTCTTTCTTTCTTTCTTTCTTTCTTTCTTTCTTTCTTTCTTTCTTTCTTCCTTCCTTCCTTCTTTCCTTCCTTCCTTCCTCCCTCCCTTCCTTCCCTTCCTTCTTTTTCTTTCTCTCCCCCTTTCTTTTCTTCTCTCCCCTTCCTTCCTTCCTTCCTTCCTTCCCTTTTCTTTTTCTTTCTTTCCTTCCTTCTTTCTTTCTCTCTCCCTCTTTTCTTCTCTCCCCTTCCTTCCTTCCATTCTTCCTTCCTTCCCTTTTCTCTTTCTTTCTTTTTCTTTCTTTCTTTCTCCCCCTCTTTCCTTTCTTTTGTCCCCTTGCTTCCTTCCTTCCCTCTTCTTCTTTCTTTCTTCTTTCTTCTTTCTTTCTTTCTTTCTTTCTTTCTTCCTTCCTTCCTTCCTTCCTTCTTTCCTTTTTCTTTCTTCCTTCCTCCTTTCTATCTTTCTTTTTCTCTCTCTTTCTCCTTCCTTCCTTCCCTCTTCCACCCTTTCCTTTCTCCTTTCCTTTGCCCTTTTCAGCAAAACCGATTCATTGAATTAAATCTTAAAGCTAGCCACCTTCCCTTTCTCCCTCTCCCTCCCTCCCTCCCTCCTCTCTTTTGATTGACACATTGACCAAATCCCTCTTGGAAATGCTGTGATTTGGAGGCTGTTCTGGATTGATGCCTTTTGGAGAAAGGTGGGAGAAGGGGGGGGGGGAGGAGAAGGGCTGCTTTGCTGTCAGAAAGGCGGAGTTGAACGGGATGCGTTTAAAAGTTTCCCTTCCAAACTGGCAGAGAGGATTCTTTTATTTTTTTATGCAAAGCACTGTGTATTTTTCATTTTTTGATGGGGAGACACATTTTCCCTGCAGGATTCTCTCCTTGAAGAAACATCTGGATTGTGCTGAAGCATCATTTCATTTGTGAGTACTCGGTTCGTATTAATTTGATCCTCCCTTCCGTCTCCTGCTATCATTTTAGGAGGAATTTAAGAACCAACTTTTTTTTTTTTTTTTTTAAACAGTTCTGCAATACTTAAAATTGCCTTGGACTCTTAAGCTCGCCTTTCACAGAGCACAGGGTGTAATGGAATTCGTAGGTTCAAAATAGGTTTGTTTTTTTTCCCCAGAAAGAAAAAAAAATGTGATTTTTAAAAAAGGGTTCAAAATAGCTTTCCCCCCCCCCCCCCAAAAAAAAGCAAAGTCTTGTGGTTTTAAAAACTGCCATGTTGATAACGGTGTAAAGAATGGGGATTGAATCCGTCAAAAATGTATGCAGGTACTGCTTTGAATGTATTGCAATATTTTATTTTATTTTTTTATTTTTTATTTTGCTAATATGAAAGTCTTTTTGCTCTCTTAAAAGACTCTTCTGAGTTTCTCTCTTGTGATGGATCCTTTTTCTTTCTATCATTCGATATGTTTGATGAGTTCAGTTCCTGGATATTTGCAAACGGAAGACTCCCAGCATCGATTATAAAATTATGGAGCAATGAATTGAAACTTAAAATAAAAAGACTCTTATCAATTAAAAGTCATTCTGAGCAATGAATTAAAACTTAAAATAAAAATACTCTTATCAATTAAAAGTCAGGCTGGAGCAATGAATTAAAACTTAAAATAAAAAAGATTCTTATCAATTAAAAGTCATTCTGAGTAATGAATTAAAATTTAAAATAAAAAGACATCAATTAAAAGTCATTCTGAGCAATGAATTAAAACTTAAAATAAAAAGATCTTATCAATTAAAAGTCAGGCTGGAGCAATGAATTAAAACTTAAAATAAAAAAATTCTTATCAATTAAAGGTCAGCCTGGAGCAGTAAATTAAAACTTAAAATAAAAAAGACTCTTATCAATTAAAAGTCATTGTGAGCAATGAATTAAAACTTAAATGAAGTGTTCTTTTTAAAAAATCGTTTGCTTCAGAATGATTCTTAATTGATAGATGGAATCTTTTTTTAATTGATCCCTCCAGAACTATTTTTAATGGTTAAATAAGGTCTGTTTTTAACATAAAATTAATTGTTTGCTTCCAGAACTATTTTTAGCTGATAACATGGTGTCTTTTTAAAGTTTTAATTCATTGCTCCAGAATGAATTAAATGCTCGATTAAAAAATAATTCTGGAGATATCAATCCATTAAAAAAGATTTCCCTCTATAAATTAAGAATCGTTCTGGAGCAATGTTATTTTTTAAAGACTCCACCTGTCAAAAAAAAGCATTCAGAGGAAACAATTTAAATTTTTAAAAAGTACTCCATTTATTCCATTTGCATATCATTCTGGAGCAATCAAATTAAAACTTTAAAAAATATTCCAAGCAGTAATTAATTCATTTTGCAGCAACAGAGCTTTCTTCTCTCTGTAATTGACTTGAAAGGAGCTACTAACAGATGTTTCCTAATAGTTCCATCTCAACTGCAGGTGTTCCTTTCTTACGACCACAACTGAGCCCAAATTTTCTGCTGCTAAGCAAGACAGTTGTTAAGTGAGTTTTGCCCCATTTTACAACCTTTTTTTGCCACAGCTGTTAAGTGAATCACTGCAGTTGTTCAGTTAGTAACGCGGTTGTTAAGTGAACCCCCATTGACTTTGCTTGTCAGAAGGTCGTAAAAGGGGATCACGTGACCCTGGGACACTGCGACCGTCATAAATATGAACCAGTCACCAAGCGTCTGAATTTGATCACGTGACCCAGGGGATGCTGCAAAGGTAGTGTGAAAAACGGTCCCAAGTCGCATTTATCAGTGCCGTTGTAACTTGAAACAGTCGCTAAATGAATTATTGTAAGTCGAAGACTGCCTGTACCATATGCAGGTGAAAGACATCCAGAGGGAAAAGTAATACTTTGGGGTTTGGGGAAAAAAATTATGGAGAACAATTAACCAATGGAACAGTCTGCCTTCTGGAATTGTGGGTGCTCCATCATTGGAGGTTTTGAAAAAAGAGACTGGACGTTCGTTTGTGTGGGGTGAAATAAGGAGCCCTGTTTGAGCAGGGGGGGTGGACTAGTTGACCTCCAAGCTCCCTTCCAGCCCCATATGATCCTATGACTCCATAAATAAGGAAGGGGAAAGAGGAAGAGAGAGGGAGCACTTCTTTGCAATTCTCTGCACTCTTTCTAGAGTCTCAGCATCTTTTTTACATCGTGGTGACCAAAACTGGATGCAGTATTCCAAGTGTGGCCTTACCAAGGCCTTGTAAAGTGGTATTAATACTTCACGTGATCTTGATTCCATCCCTCTGTTAATGCAGCCTAGCACTGTGTTGGCCTTTTTGGCAGCTGCAGCACACTGCTGGCTCATATTTAAGTGATTGTCCACTAGGACTCCGAGGTCCCTCTCACAGTTACTACTATTGAGCAAGGTACCCCCTATACCAGTGGTGGCGAACCTATGGCACGGGTGCCAGAGGCGGCACTCGGAGCCCTCTCTGTGGGCACACGTGCCGTTGCCCCAGACTCGCCTCCCCCCGTGACCCCCTCCTCTCCAGCAGCCCCCCTGAAGGAGAGTTGCCCCTGAGCGTGGCCCACGTTTTTAAAGACTCCACCTGTAAAAAAAAAACATTCAGAGGAGCAGCGCAGCCAAGGACATGGCAGCCAGGCAGCGTAGACAAGACTCTGCCCTCACCCCCCATTGTGCACAGTTGATGCTGCAGGGCGCGGGCAGAGGGCGTGACCGCCATAGCGCTGCTGGGCTGCCTGGGCGATCTGCGTCAGGCCCTGGAAGTGGTGAGTGGCCCTGCGGGCAGGCGGGGCAGGGGATTGGGGGGCGGAGCGGGGGCAGCGCAGGGGGTGGAGCAGGGGCAGGGCCAGTTTTTGGGCACTCGGTCTCTAAAAGGTTCGCCATCACTGCCCTATACTATACCCGTACATTTGGTTTTTCTTGCCTAAATGTAGAACCTTACTTTTTTCACCCTTGAATTTCATTTTGTTAGATAGCGCCCAGAGCCTCCTGTATCTTAAGCCTGTCTTCTGGAGCATTGGCTATTTCTGCCAGCTTGGTGTTGTCTGCAAATTTGATGATTTCCTTTTCTATTCCTTCATCTAAGTCATTGATGAAGATACTGAAGAATATTGGGCCTAAAATAAAGCTGTGGGGCACCCCACTGCTTACCTTCATGTAGATGTAGTACCATTAAGGATGATGCGTTGAGTGTGGTTAGTCAGCATCCGGTGGTAATGCTTGCTGCTTTGTCTCCCTGTCCACTGCCCTGTTGATTTTAAGCGGGCATTGTGTTAAAGTGTGTGTCTTTGCATTGTTATTGTAAGCTGGTTTTCCTTTTTTTAAAAAAACGAGAAGCAATGTATAAATAAACGATGGGTGTTATCGTATCATTTAGCATTACAGGTGGTGTAAGTACTACAGCTTTGGGAGCAGAATTTCAGTTGTTAAGAAAGGCAGTTGTTGAGTGAGTTGTGTAAACAGTCATAAGCGCGAGGACCGTTTGCAAGTCCCTTTTTCAGTGCTGTTATAACTTTGAAACGGTTGCTAAACGAATGATTGGAGGTTGAGGACTATCTGAACTGGGCATCTGAGTTTCCCCCTTGGTGAACCATACAGCACATCTCAGCTCCTCCACTGACTCCATGGAGGTGCCCAAGAGCCATGCTTTTTCCGGCATGTTTTTTTCAACCTGCCCCTACACTGTTCATCAACCTGTTGGTCTCCCATCCAAATTCCAACCAGGTCCCACACTGCTTAACTTTCCAAGGTCAGGGCTGGTGAAATACTGCCACCCGGTGGCATAATTAGGATGCACTAAAAAAAAAAAGCTGTTGAAGGGGAATATACGTGTCGCAGGATAATGTTGCAGGAACCAATTTGGGTCAGTCACCGGGACCAGAAGTTTAGTCTTCCGAGCTTACGGACTCGTGCTGGAGCCCATTTTCAGGCAACTTTTCTCTAGCAGCAAGAGAGAAATTCTCTGAAGGTGGACTCCGACACAAGTCCAAAAGCTCAGAAGACAGAACCGGATTGGATCCTGCAAAAAAAGCCATTGATCACAGCAAAATGTTGAGCTGAAATTAACCTTAATTTGGGACCGGGCTGTGATTTAGGTAGTCCTCCCAGGTAGGTGGATATATTTGGGGCACACTGTATGGGACCGAATGATTTTGCAGATAGGGGGAGGGGGAAGAAAAAGAAAGAGGAGGGAAGGAGAAGAGAGGAGAAGAGAGAAGGGGAAAGAAAGAGGGGAGGGGAGATGTACATTGTACACAAATAGAGCAAATCCTGCTTTTTTCTAGCACTGATGATGTTCCCTAGTTGGGTCATGAAATGTCTTCAAGAAAACAACCCTGCTCAGAGAGCACCAAGGACCCTACAGTCATTGTTCTCTTCCTTCTTTCCTCCTCCTCCTCCTCCTCCTCCTCCTCCTCCTCCTCCTCCTCCTCCTCGTAAACCCCCCTCCCTTTTAGCACTATGTTACGTAGTTGGGTCACAAAACGTCTTCAAAAAAAAAAAAAAACCAAGCTCAGAGACCACCTAGAACTCCACAGAATTAATTATTTAATTAATGAGTCAACCAATAAATGAATGTTGGTGAATGAATGGACGATTCAGTGAATGAACGAACGAATTCATATATTCCCATCTTCCCGTTTTTATCTCGCAGGCCATAAATGATCAGCCCCTATGACCAACATGAGCTGGAGTTTCCTCACCCGCCTGCTGGAAGAAATTCACAACCACTCCACTTTTGTGGGGAAGATCTGGTTGACTGTCCTCATCGTCTTCCGCATCGTCCTGACGGCCGTGGGGGGCGAGTCCATCTATTCGGACGAGCAGAGCAAATTCACCTGTAACACCAAACAGCCGGGCTGCGACAATGTCTGCTACGATGCCTTCGCCCCGCTTTCCCATGTCCGCTTCTGGGTCTTCCAGATCATCATGATCTCCACCCCGTCTGTCATCTACTTGGGCTACGCCATCCACCGGATCGCCAGGTCCTCAGAGGAGGAGAAGAAGAGATTCCGGAGCTTCAAAAAGAAGAAGAAGCAGTTTGTCCTCAACTGGCAGGCGTCCCATCATCTGGAAGATTCCTTGGGCGCCGAAGAAGAACCTATGATCTCTGAGGAGATGGTGGAGAACGAAGAGAAGGAGAAGACCAAGGAAGAGGAGGAGAAGAAGAAGGGGCAGAAACATGATGGCCGGAGACATATCCAAGAAGAAGGATTGATGAAGATCTACGTCTTCCAACTTCTCACCAGAGCCTCCTTCGAAGTCTGCTTCCTGATAGGTCAATACATGCTCTACGGTTTCGAGGTGAGACCCTACTATCTCTGCACCCGCGACCCTTGTCCCCATAACGTCGACTGCTTTGTGTCCAGGCCCACGGAGAAGACCATCTTCCTCCTGGTGATGTACGTGGTCAGCTGCCTTTGTCTGTTGCTCAACCTGGCGGAGATGTGCCATCTGGGCATCGGTACCATCCGGGATGCCATTCGCGAACGGAAAATCCACAACTTCCGACAGCCGCCGTACAATTATGCCGCCTACCCCAAAAACATCTCTTGCCCGCCCGAGTACAACCTGGTGGTCAAATCGGACAAATCAGCCAAGATTCCCAACAGCTTGATGGCCCAAGAGCAGAACTTGGCCAATGTGGTCCAGGAGCAGCAGTGCACCAGTCCCGACGATAACATCCCTCCCGATTTGTCCACCCTCCATAAACAGTTACGGGTGGCTCAGGAGCAACTGGACATTGTGTTCCAGAGTTACAACGGCACTCAGGGACACAGCCAGCCCTCCAGAACCAGCAGCCCGGGCTCCAGTGGGTCTATGGCAGAGCAGAACCGGGCCAATATTGCGCAAGAGAAACACGGGACCAAGCCAAAAACCAGTTCGGAGAAAGGCAGCGTCAACGGCAAAGATGGGAAAAACTCTGTATGGATTTAGGAAGGAGGAAACAGGTCAAAGGGTCTTACTACCTTGGTGGGCTTTGCATCAGGAGATGATGGGTGTCTCTTCTTTGTTTACGAGGACAAGGCTAAAATGAGACGTCCACCGGTAGTCCACCAGAGGCCTTTTCTCAGTCCCTTGCTTGGTTGATTCCCATCTTTCGTTTTCCGGGTAAAGCAGAATCTTTGCGCTAGAAATCCGTGTGAGACAGATCCGTCCTCAAAGTTCTTCCAGGGAAGATTCAAACCAGGTGCTGATGGCAAGATGGATCCTTTGACTGGAGGCTCCAAAGATCAGAAGAGACAGAATTAAATTCCTGTCAATAAAACTTTGGCCCAAAAGCCCAATTTCTCAACCTGCCTTGAAGGTTGAGAATCTCAGGTATAATCCGCCTTTTGAAACTGATGGCATTTACCGCACTATCCTTTATCTCTTTCTTATCCGAGTTTTCCACTTCTTCCTTCTGACAAGCTGCCTTTTTAAAAAAAAAAAAAAAAAAATCAACAAACCAACTCTTTTCTCTTCGTCATTTTGACATTCTCTTCCTACCGAGACAGGATTACGTCTCTCAATTTGGTGGTGCCTGCCAAATAATTTAGTTTATGAGTGTTTTCTTTTGAATCTAGGACAGACTTGGGCTGGAGAAAGCTGCATTGGGGTTTTTTTTAAATGTTTTTTACCATTTTTTTTTTCTGTTGGCAAGGTGAAGTGTCCTGTCCTATGATTATGGTAAAAGATAGGACCTGGTTTAAATAAATGACATCCACTGTTCACGAAGAGTACCACTGTGTGTGGATAGTGGCCCGTTGTAGAGTTCTCCATTTGGCATTCCCACCTGTATTAAGCAATTGTGAGGACGAATCGTGTTGTCTCTTTCTTTTGAGGGCTAAAATAACCCTGAACTGAATTAATTTCCAGGACCCTGGTGGGATGGCAACATCTGGAGATGTTTCCAAAATGTCGTAGTTCTGAACCGCGGGCCATATCCACCGAAAGAGAGATTTTAAAATTGAAAACCTCTGTTAACTGCGACTAAAGATTAACTAACCCGCAATTTTGGCAGTGTGGTCACTGCAAAACAGTTTCTGGAAAGCAAATTCCAAGAAAATGGAGTCTCCAGAAGAAGATCTACATGAGAGAAAGAAGATCTGAAGCCAATGTCTGGGTTGGCTTCAGCTACATCGTGCATTTGGCGATGGATGGTATTTTATTTTTATTTTATATTATCTTCTCTGCAGCTTCGCTAAGAAATGAGTTCCAGGAGATAGGAAGGTGGTTTCATGAAGGATTGTGCCCCTTCAAAGATTGCAGAATGGGAAAAATGAATTGAGTCACTGTAAAGCAGATTTTCTCAACCTTGGCTGCTTGAGGATAGGTGGAGTTTGATTTCAGCATGGCTGGCTGGGGAATTCTGAGAGTTGAAGTCCACCCATCTTAAAGTTGCCGGGGTTGAGAAAAATTTCTCTAGGGACGTTGAGCAATAGAAAATGTATTCACTGAATCCCTTTCAGAAGGCAACTAGACTTTCTTGTTTTTCCTTTGAAGACGTTTCGCTTCCCATCCATGAAGCTTCTTCAGCTCTGACTGGATGGTGAGGAATGGAAAGATTTATACTCCTTGTAGAGAGCTAGTCATTTGCCTTCTTTGAGAGAGTCGTTGAGGCCACTTTTTCGAAGACAGCAAAGTCCACATTTTAGTCAGAGAGGACCACTGGTTTGAAAGAGGGGTCAAGGAGGCCATCTAGGTCAAAATTGAGCAGCCCTCTCTCAACAGAGAGGGAGGGATTTGACATGTATCTCCTGTCTACAACATGGTCCTTTCAGCAGTTCATTTATCTGTGTCCTCAGGGTCACTAAGGTGACCCTGAGGACACAGATAAATCTCCAGGTGGCCTCAATGACCCTCTAGAAATGCAAATGACCGGCTGCAAGGAATATAAATCCTTCCATTTCCCACCATTCAGTCAGAGCTGAAGAAGCTTCTTGGATGAAGTCTTCAAAAGAAAAACAAGAAAGTCCAGTTGCCTCATGAAAAAGCATCTTTGGGGAAAACCCTGACCTGGATGACTGACAATCTCCACAGACATCTTTATTGAATCCTTGTGGACAGAGATTAGCTTAAAACAAGTTGTCCAGGGCTTGATTTGGACGAGACAGGGAATGAGATGTCCTCGCACCACGCCGAGAAGGCAGTCCCCAAGATGCTGCTGGTGGTAAACCATTACATCTTCTTCCATTTAGGAGTTTGGAGATGTTGTTGTATAGAGATATGTTGCTTCTCTAAATCCCTGCCCATTTCACTCTTCCATGTGGGTTTACAAATATCATATATGGCCCGAGAATTGCTGTGATCCTTTAGACCCATATTCACTTAGTCTAGCCTTCTAGTCAGATATTCTGTTCCTCAGAATAAAGTAAAATGGAGGTTCTCCTTTGTGACTGGCATAAATATTATGACTTGTAATAACCAAGAAATCTAAATGGAGTCGAGATTTCCTCTTGATGACTTCGTACAGCCATGTAGAGCAGCGTTCCTCAATCTTGGCAACTTGAAGATGTGTGGACTTCAACACCCAGAATTCCACAGCTGGAGAATTCTGGGAGTTGAAGTCCACTCCTGGTGGCTGGAGAGTTTTAGAACTTGAGGTCCACATGTGTTAAAGTTGAGAAACAGCGGTGGAGAGAATAAGGAAGGTGAGCTGGACAGAGATAGATCTGATCCATTATTAGATCCATGAGGGGAAAAACATGGCTGAAGTCCGAAACAAGAAAACACATGCAAGCAATACAGATACAAATGTGTGTAACGGGAGGGGGAAGTTGTTATGCATAAGGACATTTCCCCTACATGCTCATATTAGGCCGGTATTTCCGAACCTTAGTAATGTGAAGACTTGTGGACTACAACTCCCAGAATTTTTCACACTGGCTAGGGAATTCTGGGAGTTGAAGTCTACACCTCTTCAAGCTGCCAAGGTTGAGGAACATACTGATTTATTGCGTATCATTCAGACATTTTTTGTTACTGTTTTCTTCCAGAATGTTTTGTGTCTCCTCGTGTAGCCTACATCTCTGAGGGGTTTTGGGTGGTCTCCCATTTTAAGTCCCCCGTAATGAAGTTTGATCTTGCTTAGCTCTTGAGATCAGCCAAGAGAGACTTAAGTGTACTGTTTATTTAACCTTCATAAACATAAGTTTATGTCAACTGGGAATTGTGGACCTTGAAGCCTAGGCGGGGGATTGGACTAGAAGACCTCAATAGTCTTTTCCAATTATATTATTCTATGTTGGGGGAAAACAGCCTTAACGTTATTTTATCCACTGCCAAAACACAGGTCGCCTCTATTTTCACTCCATGAATTTGTAGGTTGCACAGAGTTAGCCCTCCAGATTGGTGTCTTTGATGTTCACCAGGATGTGAAGACCTCGGGAATGGAAAATGTTTGGAAGCATCGATCAATCGCAGAGGGAGGGGGTCTTCAATATGTTTTATGGGGTCCACAGCTTCATATGTTTCATGTATATAACGTGAAGTATCAGTACTGAGTCCCATTTGATAATTTTCAGGAGATCCCATTAATTTGTAGATCATCAAGTTGCACCTTGAGATATGTTGAACACCTCAGGTACGATAAGAAGCAAGTGGCCTGAAGAAGACAAATCTGATCTGTTGCTACAAATGAGGACCATAAATTGTATCTAGAACTCACCCCAAAGAAGAATAAGAAGATTCAGATAAATAAGAACTAATTTTTGAAGGAAAAATACTTTCTTCCAGCGGAACGAAGAAAAATCTATGTTTACAACTCTGCAGTGGGCAGAAACAGATCACTTTCACCCCTACTCATCCCAAAATGAAGATTTAGTGATGGAGAATCCACTGAAAAAATATTTTGGAAACTCTGCTTTTGATGTCAGGGTTGAGAAACAAAAGCATCTGCTGGGGGGGAGGGGTGTCTCATTTTCAAAAAAACAATTTTTGCTTTGAATAGATTGGTCCTGGATGAAAAATAGTAATTAAAAACAAGCCTATGTTTATGGACAAAAAAACAACAACAGAACTGTTCAAAATAGGTGGTTCATGAGTCCATTTTGGAAGGGGCTGAAACACCAATTCTGCAATTTAGTTTGCTGAACTGATTGGCATTGTAGGATTGAAAAGAGACCACCAGGAAAACTAGATTGCAGAGACCAACGTAGTGACGGTATTAAAAGAAAAATTACAGAACTTACACTGACAGCGTTGTTGTCTTGACTTAGTATAAGTTGCCGTTTTCATTTTCATCAGATGATATCCTTTTGCGAAAAGTCCTGGAAAAAAAATGCCAGATTGGTGGAATTAACTGAATCATCTGTTCAAAACTAGAAAAACAAATAAACAGGACCATTTTGTTTAAGAAAGTGTGTAAAAATCAGTTACTGTATCTATTTAAACTGCTAGCAGGGTAAAAAAAAAAAAATCTGGAATTTTTGGCCATATTTAAATCAATACGCCCAGAGTCGCCTTGAACCGTGAGATGGACAGCAAAGAAATTTGATCATAATAATAATACGCACCAAATAATTCAATTCCTGCGTTCTGCTATCCTGAATCTTTAGATGTTAGGAGTTTTACACACAATGCGTGGGAAAACATCCTACATCAGAAGGCAGAGCCAATTTTTTTTTTTTGTGCAGTTTTGAAGACTCTTCTTATATACCTGCAGTATTAAAAAAAAAATTACCAAAAGATTATAATGCAAAAAAAAGAGAGCTTTTTTTTTACAATAAATGTTCTTGTCAGCAGCTGTGCCCCCCAAACTGTAAGGATTTTAGTCTGCATGAGGCGGTTTTGAGACACCAGCATTTTTTCTCCATCTTTGAGCAGAGAAGACAAGATCCGTTCAACAACTGCGTAACCAAAGCCGACACACACACTGCCGTTCGCATTCCATTCTGCTGGGAAATACTTGAAATTAACTAAATAGCCATAACAAATCTATGCTGTTAACAGAATTTTGATTTTTATCTTTTGGTCTTTTTTGTTGTGCATTTTCCTAATTTGCCAGTTGTGTAAGGAACCCATTTTGTCTGTGTTCACATGACACGTTTAACCAACCCAGTTACAGAAAGTGGCTATGTTCACACCTGCTTAAATTTGTCAATATGAACTTAGAGGAATTATTCTGGTTTTGAAGTGTGTGTGAATTCATCTGATGAGATAATACATTCTGAGAAGAGCTGAGAAAATGGATGAATTTGTTACATTAAATCTTTTTTTTTTTTTTGTGAACGCAGCCAGAAAGTATGTCGTTGGTCCCTAATATGTTTCATTGTAAATGCTATTTACAAATTGTATGTGGAATCATTACTTACAAACAGCAAACACTTTTGGATGTTCAGTGTTCAGTACTAATAAAACGGAACGAAATGTTCCTTTTGTTTCATCATATTCCGTATGTGATGGTGCATTTATTTAGGGGGAAGTTTTTTTCTAAGTGTCCCATAGAACCTGGTTTAGCAAACTTTCTCTGTTTACTGCATCTTGAACATCTCAGTAATTCTTTCATGCCATCCCTAGGCCCAAAGAAATAACTAGCAGTTTCATCTATCTATATATAAATAAAAATGTAAATGCTCGTTTGTTCAAAATCTTAAATCTCCGAAAGTTCTTCACCGATTGCTTTGAAATTTTGACACAACGTTGCATTCGAATACGCGCGTGTTTTTATATACCTACTATTGTATAGATGTCACACCAGTGACAGGTAAAACATGCTTTTTTTGAAAAACAGCACTATCTGTTGGATGTAAAAGCAACACACTTCTTTTCCATTTAACCAGACTGAGCCACAGCAATGCGTGGCCGGGTACAGCTAGTTGGAAATAAAAAGAAACTAAAAATTGAAAGAAACAAAACAAGATTTTCATTTCATTCTTATATAGGCATAACTGCTAACAGACAGACTGACAGATAAAAGAGATAGATGGTGGCTTGGTTGGATAGGTACGTACATGATAGATAGATAGATAGATAGATAGATAGATAGATAGATAGATAGATAGATAGATAGATAGATAGACAGACAGACAGACAGACAGACAGACAGACAGACAGACAGACAGACAGACAGACAGACAGACAGACATGATAGATAATATAGAGAGACAGATAGACAGACAAACAGAAATGATAGATAATATAAAGAGACAGATGATAGATAGACAGACATGATAGATAATATAGAGAGACAGACAGTTTGATGATAGGTAGGTAAATGATAGATTAGATATAGACAGGCAGACAAATGATAATGATATATATGTATACATATAGACAGACAGACAAACAGTTTGATGATAGGTAGGTAGGTAGACAGACAGATACATTCATGCACCTGTTGGGCAGTATACAACTCTGGAATCGGAGTGGACACCACACTCACTTTACAGGTACTCCACAACTTACAACCACAATTGGGATCAGAATTTTCATTGTTAAGACAGATAGATAACCTTTATTGTCAATTTTTACTGTGGGCACAACGGCATACATTAAAAATGAAATGTAGTTGCTTGCTCTCAAAGTGTACATATATATATCACATCTAAACATACTATATATAACCTATGTATAGACCTACATCCTTACATATAAGTAACATAAATGTTAATCACTGTCCATCTTGAATACATAACTGAAAGAGGAAGCTTGAGAGTTCACAAGGTTAATATTGGATGGAACAAAACTGTGACTGAATCTGGATGTTCTGCTTCGGATGCCACGGAGCCCCCTCCCGGAAGGCAACAAGGAAAACAGGTCGTGAAGAGGATGTGTAGCGTCCCAGACACAGTCACACCTGATTTAATGACCTTTCTTGCTACGGTTGTTAAGCGAATCACTGCAGTTGATGAGTGAATTATGTGGTCATTAAGAGAATTTGGCTTCTGCCATTGACTCGATGGTCAGAAGCCAGCTGGGAAGGTTGCAGATGGCGATCACCAGGCGGCGGTTAAGTGAATCATACCCATTTTACAATCTTTTTGGCAACCATTGATAACCAAACCACCATAGTTGTTAAGCTGCTCATGTGATCTTTAAGCAAATCCGGCTTCCTTCATTAACTTTGCTTGTCGGAAGCCGGCTGGGAAGGTCAGCAAATGGAAATCACGTGATCCTAGGACACTGCAACCGTTGTAATAATGCTGGTTGCCCCGTGGCTAACATTCGATCACATGACCATGGGGATGCTGCTGCAACAATCATAAGTCCGAGGGTCAAAAATCATTTTTTTTTCAGTGCTGCTATGACTTCGAACAGTCCCTAAAGAAATAACTGTACATCAAGGATTATCTTCGCTTGCATTTGATCACAGCAACTGCCAAAAAGCAAACTTTGTCAAAATAAAGACGCTCCAAACTTTAAAAATATCCCCAATGCTGGGTTTGAGTTTCCCTGCTAATGGAGATTCAGTATAGACCAGGAGTATCCAACCTTGGCAAGTTGGCTGGGAAATACTGGGATTTGAACTGCACGATTTTAAAAGTTGCACAAGGTTGGCCAACCCCTGCTGTAGAAAGAAAAAACGCAGTCTGTGGCTTGCTTGCTTCATTGCCCTGCCTGCCTTCGGTCCAAAACGTTATAAGGAAAGGCAAAATGTCTATGTACAGATAGTCCTCGACATATGACCACAACTGAGCCCAAAATTTACTTTGCTAAGTGAGACATTTGTTGTCAGTTTTGCCTCATTTCAACTTCTCCCCCTATGGTTCTTAAGTAAGATGGTTGTTTAAGCAAACCTGGCTTCCATTGACTTTGCTTGTCAGAAGGTCACAAAAGGGGATCACATGACCCTGGGACACTGCGACCGTCATAAATATGAGTCAGTTGCCCAGCATCTGAAGTGTGATCACATGACCATGGGGATGCTGCAACAGTCGTGTGAAAAAGTCATAATTCACTTTTTTCAGTGCCGTTGTAACTTCAAATGGTCATTAACTGAACTATTCTCAGTTGAGGACTATCTGTAGATTCTCAATCATCCGGGTCATGGCTGTCCCAAAGGTGCTTTCCAAAAAGCAACTGTGTTTTTTTCCCCTTGAAGATGTTTCACTTCTCATCCAAGAAGCTTCATCAGTTCTGACTGAATGAGGGGGGGAATGAACTAATCCTTACACAGACACACACCATCCATTCAGAACAGAAGAAGCTTCTTGAATGAGAAGCAAAATATCTTCAAGCAAAAACAAAGGAAGTCCAGTTGCCTTTTGAAAAAGCACCTTTGAGACAACCACGACCTGGATGACTGAGAACCTCCATAGAAATTTCATTTTCGTTGCTGTTTTCGAAAAGATCCAGGATCTGATTTTTTTTTAACATGAATGAATGCTGTGCTTCAATGGTTAGATGGCCTAGATAGAACAGTGTTTCTCAACCTTGACAATTTTAAGGCATGTGGAATTCTGGGGGTTGAAGTCCACACGCCTTAAAATTGTCAAGGTTGAGAAACACTGGCCTAGAAGACACTGGTATGTGAACATAATCTTTCTGACGTTTATATTTTATTAATTAGATGAAATGTTAATATATGTTAAACCAATCCATAGACATCTTTGGAATAAAAAAAAGCAGCATACAATAAAAGGCCCAAAATCGCTTCCGCATTCAGCACGTGGATTGCAGCGGCCGGAAGGACCAGCCAATGAGGAGCCACCTGAGGAGCTCGGCCCCGCCTCCTTAAGCCTGTGGGCCAAGCGCTAAAGGGCTCTCTGCGCTTGCGCACTTGACTCAAGCCGCTTCACGCCCTCTCGCTCCACCCTCGACCATACACAAGATGGCGGCGCCGAGGTCTTTTCCAGTTCCTTGGTCGCTGTTCGCCAAGCCGCCATGCTGGTGAGGGCGAGCGCGGCGCTGCGGCGGGGCCTCCCGCGAAATTTGCACTCGGGCGGGAGCGACATAAGAGCGGCCGCCGTTTGCTTCCCGTTGAGCCACCGCGCGCTCCTCCGCTTGCAAGGCCCGGAGACGATCCCTTTCCTCCAAGGACTCCTCACCAATGACGTGACCCCTTTCGCCGAGGTGGGCGGAGTCGCGCCGCGCGCGCTTTACGCACACGCCCTCAACGTCCAGGGGAGGTGCCTCTATGACGTCATCGCGTACAGGTGCGTACGGTGCGCTCAGCCGGGCAAGCCGTGGCCGGACTGCGAACGTTCATCATCCACCGCCATCGGTGGCAGGGAACGATGGGAGTTGTAGTGCCTTCTTCCGCGCGCGAAAAGGGCTTGTTTCGGAGCTCTGGATAGCCGGATGCTGAGGGCCACGCTACAATGGGCTTTGCAACACTTGCAATATGGTCTTTGTAGTACTGTTGCAATGACTAAAACGGGTTTTTCTTGTATTTTAAATTTCCCCTTTTCTCAAGGCGAAGGAAAATACAAAGAAACCCAATTGAGCTAGCCAGTGCAAAAGAACTCCAAAACCCACATTGCAAGTATGACAAAATCCATTCTACCTGACCTTCAGTGCCAATGAAAAGAAAAAAAAGATGACTTTCATGGATTCACTTCCTCTTTCTTGCTTATTGTTTTGTACCATCTTTTTATCTTTTTTATTTTGCTGCAAGCCACCCAGAGGGGACCTAGCTAGCAGCCCACTCCCTTCTAACATTGATGATATTACCTAGTTGGGTCCTGAAAGGTCTGCAGAACAACTACAGAGCTCAGCGAGTACCACTGACCCCACAGTCGTCTCCTCCTCTCCCCCCCCTCCTCCTCGCCAACCTCATAATATTCCCTAGCTGGGTCATGAAATATCTGCAAGCAAGGCACCAAGGTCAGAGTGCGCCAAACAACCCCCAAACACAGTAGCATTTCATAATGCAGTTTGGCACGTCCTGCTGTAGGAAACGGCCTATAGCAGTGTTTCTCAACCTTGACAATTTTAAGGCATGTGGACTTCAACTCCCAGAATTCCACAGCCAGCAATGCTGGCTGTGGAATTCTGGGAGTTGAAGTCCACATGCCTTAAAATTGTCAAGGTTGAGAAACACTGGCCTATAGGACAGTGATGGTGAACCTTTTAGAGACCGAGTGCCCAAACTGCAACCCAAAACCCAAATATGCATCGTCGGGTGCTGGGTGGGCGTGACCCATTGGCTGGGTGTGGCCCATTGGCTGGGTGTGGCCTATTGGGTGGGCGTGGCTGCAGTGGTAACGGCAGACTGGGTGGGACTAAAAAGTTCAATCAATCAATTCCAACTTTCCAAGATCTTTTTTTTTCCCGCGAGAAGTTGAAATTGACTGATTGATTGAACCTTTTTTTTTTTTGCACACGGCGGCAGAGGCCTAAAGCGAAAAGGTTTTATAAAACCCAGCTGAAGGCCTAGGACTGGGGCGACGGTGTGTGTGCCCACAGAGAGGGCTCTGAGTGCCACCTCTGGCACCCGTGCCATAGGTTCACCACCACTGCTATAGGATGTTAGTGGGATATCTGTGCTAGGAAGAGGAACCTATGCTACAGCATGTCCCCAAACTTGGCAACTTTTAAGACTTGCAGACTTCAACTTCCAGAATGCCTTAAAGAGCTGGGGAATTCTGGGAGTTGAAGTCCGCAAGTCTTAAAAGTTGCCAAGTTTGGAAACTTATGCTCTAGCATAGGTTCCTCTCCCTGGCACAGATACCGCGCTAACATCCTAGACAGGCCAAACTGGGAATTGAAGTATTAAAGTGGCTGAGTTTGGAGACCCCTGCTGTAGTAGAGGAAGGGAAATAAAACCAGATTTCCACATGAAGGCTGTCAAGTTCCTTTGCTCATTTTGGATCTGTTTTCAGACTCCATGAAAACAAGCAGGAAGAACCGCACGTCTTGCTGGAATGTGACGCCGGTCTCCTGGACTCCTTCCGGAAACATCTGAAGCTCTATAAGATCCGCAGGAAATTAGACCTCTCGCCCTGTCCTGGCCTCTCTTTGTGGGCTGTCATTCCGAAGGAACCGTCGGAGGGTTTGCCTAAGCAAAATGCTGACCAAGCTGTGGTTCTGACTGCAGATCCCAGAGTGAAGATTATGGGATGGAGGCTGATCATCCGCAAGGAGGTAAACCCTCTGGAGATCTTCCCCGGATGCCGGCTTGGAGAGCTAAAGGATTACCATCGGCATAGGTATCAACAAGGTAAAAGTGCCCTTAGAGTCATCAGAAGAAGCCGAAAGGCGGTGTGGAAAGTGGGTGATGATGGGTTCGGGACTGGATTTGGGGAAGTGCAACATGGAACTTGGAATGATAGAGCTTTAAGGGACCTTGGAGGTCTTCTAATCCAACCCCCTGCTCAAGCAGGAGACCCTATACCACTTCAGACACGTGAATGTCCAGTCTCTTCCTAAAAACATCTGGTCCAGACCCTGCTGCTGTGTAATTGTGGTATGTCTGTTTTAGGATTTTAAAATTTTTGAATTTTGTGTTTTGTATATATCTCTATCTGAAAATATAGAGGATGCTGGCTAAGGGAATCCTGGGAATTGAAATCCCTGCATATTAAAGCTGCTGAGGTTGAGAAACATTGCCTTACGTTTTTTTTTTTAAACTGTGCATTATTAACTCCTTCTTTTGCTTGATTGCCAGAGTCCCAAACCCAAGATTAGTACTGAGAAACCTTAGATTCACCAGTTCCTCCTACTTTCCCCACAATAAGAACTTGGTGAGGTGGGCTGGGCTGAGAAAGAATGACCGACACCAAGTCACCCAGCTGGCTTCCACACCTAAGGCAGAGCTAGAACTCACCGTCTCCTGGTGATTATCCCAGAGTCACCCAGCTGGCTTCCATGCCTAAGGCGGGATTAGAACTTCCAGTGTCCTAGTGATTGGCTCAAAATCATCCAGCTGGCTTTTGTGCCTAAGGCAGGTCTAAAACTTTCTATCTCCTGGTTTTATACTGCTGTGCTAGATGGCTCCTAGATGCCCTAACAACATTTTCTCTGTAGAAATTCTGTATGCTGAATGGATCCATTGAATCCAATCGGCTGAGAAGCACTCAGTCCCAAACAGAATTTCTAATATTATTGTAAGGTTCCATTAATCAAAACTTGTAAGTCTCAAAGTACATTTCTCCTTCGTGTCTTTTAAACCCCCCCCCTCCTCCCCACAAACTAGAGAGGGTCCCTTCTGAGCTGTTTGGTATGCCCCTTTTCCTTCTGCGAGCTCAGCAGCTTTTTATCTGACCACTGCCTCGTTTGTGGCTCTTCCTCCTGCCTCCCAAGGTCTTCCTCACATACAGGTACTCCTTGACTTTATGACCACAATTGAGTCCAAAATTTCTGTTGCTACGTTAGACAGTTGTTAAGTGAACTTTGCTCGATTTTAACGGATCTTTCTTGCCACAGTTGTTAAATGAATCACTGCAGTTGTTAAGTTAGTCACAAGGTTGTTAAGTGAATCTGGCTTCCCCTTTGGCTTTGCTTGTTAGAAAGTCACAAAAGGGGACCACGTGACCCCGGGATGTGCAGCTGTCGTAAATATGAATCAGTTGCCAAGCGTCTGAATTTTGACCACGTGGCTGTGGGGATGCTGCAAAGTTTGTAAGTATGAAAAATGCACTGCTTTTTTTGTAAAAAAAAAAAAAAAAGTGCCAGAACTCACACACGTCATACAACCCGCCTTGCCTACCCTACAAGGTACCATCCCAAAAAAGTGTCGGAACTCCGTTCTGGGCGTTCTATGACAAAAAAAGCCCTGGTTATAAGCCACTTTTTTCAGTGCTGCTGCAACTTTGAACTGTCACTAAACAAACAGTTGTAAGTCAAGGAATACTTGAACTGTTATATCAGTGCAAAGACTTCCTAGCATAATGTTCACTTCCAGAGAAACCCTTTCTACAGAATTGGCTGTCCTGCCGAACCACAATACTCCTAAAATTCAATCAGACCAACTTGTTTTCTTCCAGGTGTCCCTGAAGGCACGAAAGATCTCCCGTATGGAACCGCTTTGCCCTTGGAATCCAACCTGGTTTATCTGAATGGTGTAAGCTTCACGAAAGGCTGTTATATCGGTCAGGAATTGACGGCCAGGACTCACCACATGGGCGTCATCCGGAAACGGCTCCTGCCCATACAGCTCTTGCCGCTGATGCCTTTCGAGAGCCTCACGGAAGGTACTGAAATTGTGACCGAATCGGGGAAGTCGGCTGGAAAATTCCGTGCGGGCGAGAACGAGTTTGGAATCGCCTTGCTGCGTTTGGCGACCACAAAGGGCCCGCTGCGGCTCAAACTTGCCGACGATTCGCAAGTGACGGTCACAGCATCCATTCCTAAATGGTGGCCCCAGCCTGCCAATAAATAGTGTGATCTTCTGCTGAATATGACTTGTCCTGAAGTTTATTGTCTTTGGATGCTTCTTTTCACAATTCTGAAAGTTGGTGGCTTTGAAAGGAAGAATCCTTCATGATTGTGCCTAGTGTGACATTGATGGAAAACTTTGAAATTTTAGGCCCTTATTATTTATTCTCTGACAGTCATATTATTGTAGCTTTATCTGATTCTTCCTCTTATCCTCCCTTATCTTCCTTCCAGAGAAACAAAACCTAACAATCAAAGGAAAGAATTAAACTCCTGTAAGTTTTCCCCAAGTTGGCTGATTCTAGAAGATTTATTAAGTTAAGTCTCTATTTGTTGATATTGTTTGTTATAACTATCAATGTGGTTCTTCCCATGAGATTCCTTGACACTTTAAACCAGAATTTCTCCAAATTGACAACTCTAAGTGATATGGACTTCAACTCCCAGAATTCCCCAACCACCACAGGGAATTCTGGGGATTGAAGTCCACACCTCTTAAAGTTGCCAAGTTGAAAAAAACAATTGATTTGGATTCTTCATTTCCATCGCATTTTTTTGATCAGGAAAATATTATGACCATTTATTTAGTGACCATTCAAAGTTGCAAGGGCATTGAAAAAAGTGACTTATGACAGGTCCTCATACTTACAACCATTGCAGCATCCCCATAGTCATATGAGCAAACTCCAGGTGCATTATTTACAACCATGGAGGGGGGGGAGACTATCCTTGTGTCTGGTTGTTCTAGCACAGTGGTTCTCAACCTTTTTAATGCCGCGACCCCAACCGGTCGTAAGTCGAGGACTAAACCGGTCGTAAGTCGAGGACTAAACCGATCATAAGTCGAGGACTAAACCGGTCGTAAGTCGAGGACTACCCAACTGGTCGTAAGTCGAGGACTTTCCCTGCCCGGGAGTGCCGTGCATGCGTGGTTCCGCCCCCTGCGCCGGCCGAGGCATAGCTGGCAAGCAGCAGAGACGGAGCAGGCCGACCACCAGCTGGCCCAGCCCAAGGGAGGTAAGGCACCCGCCGGAAAAGGGGGAAAAATGGCAGACAAAAAAAATGGCGGACAGCCTTGCTTGGCGACCCCTGTGAAATGGTCGATCGACCCCAAATGGGGTCCCGACCCACAGGTTGAGAACCACTGTTCTAGCATATAATGCCCTATAACAGTGATGGTGAACCTTTTAGGGACCGAATGCCCAAAGTGCAACCCAAAACCCACTTATGTATCGTCGGGTGCCTGGTCGGCGTGGCCCACTGTGTGAGTGTGGCCAATTTTGTGGGTGTGGCCCATTGAGTGGGTGTGGCTGCAGTGGTAATGGCATACTGGGTGGGACTAAAAAGTTCAATCAATCAATTCCAACTTTGCGAGATCTTTTTTTTCCCCGTGAGAAGTTGAAATTGACTGATTGAACCTTTTTTTTTTTTTGCACATGGCAGCAGAGGCCTAAAGCAAAAAGGTTTTATAAAACCCAGCTGAAGGCCTAGGACTGGGGCGACAGTGCCCGTGCCCACAGAGAGGGCTCTGAGTGCCACTTCTGGCACCCGTGCCATAGGTTTGCCACCACGGCCCTATAACGTTTTGAGAGAAGTAGTTGAAACAGTTTACGTCCACAATTTGAGAGGTCTGAAGCTAGTTTCACAGCCCTCTTTCTGGCTTGTCCTCAAAGGAAGGAAAGCTGGTTGCGATTGTTTTTTCTGCAGTCCTAACTATTTGTTGAAGTCTGTGTCTGTCTTGTTTGGTTGCTGTTTCAAACCAGACAATTATGGAGGTACAAATGACGGACTGAATTATACATATATATATATATAACCAAACAAGACAGATACACATATATATATCAAACTTACAAACAAAAAAACCCCTCACATTCAAAATCTAACCATTTAAACCACAAAAAACAGTAGCCGCCAAGATACTAAAAATTCAGAGTTCAAAACTGAAAATTCTCCATACAAGGGGTAGGCAACCTTGGCTCTTTTATGACTCGTGGACTTCAACTCGCAGAATTCCTGAGCCAGCCATGCTGAGGGGAAAGGGAGAGGTTTCCATGCTGAGCCATGCTGGCTCAGGAATTCTGGGAGTTGAAGTCCACCAGTCATAAAAGAGCCAAGGTTGCCTACCCCCTGCTCCATACCATCCCATTACAGGTAGTCCTGCGTTCATTTAATGACCATTCAAAGTTACAACAGCATTGAAAAAAGTGATTTATGACTGATTTTCACACTTAACGACCATTGCAACACCTCCATGGTCACGTGATCAAAATTCACACTTGGCAACAGGTTCATAGTTATGACGGTTGCAGTGTCCCGGGGGTCATGTGACCCCCTTTTGGGACCTTTTGACAAGCAAAGTCAATGGGGAAGCCCAGATTCACTCAACAACTAAGTTAATAACTGCAGTGAATTATTTAACAACTGTGGCAAAAAGGCTGTACAATGTGGCAAAACTCACTTAACAACTGTCTTGCTTAGCGATGGAAATTTTAGGCTCAGTTGTGATCATAAGTTGAGGACTGCCTGTAGTTCCATTTGTTGCTATGAAAAAAGATCCCACCCATTTTAAATGTGATAGCATGATGTGAATTGTATCCTGAACTTTGCATTTGGTCAAAGTAAGGCAACAAATATATCTCATGCTCCTTCCTCCTCCTATTTTCCTTATAACAACAACCCTGCAAGGGGGGGTTGGACCGAGAGAGAGGGACTGGCCCAAAATCAGGCAGTTTTCACCCTTTTAAGTGACTAAAAGCAGAAGAATAAGAATGGAAAGTAGGCCACTAGGTGATCTTCTATTCTGCTTCATGAAGGAAACTATAGGTAAGTCCTCAACTTACAACCATTCGTTTAGTGACTGCTCGAAATTACAAAGAATTAATGACCGTTTCACACAATTAAGACTGTTGCATGGAAAAAAATATATGACCTTTTTACACACTTTAAGACTATTGCAGCATCCCCATGGTCACATGAACCAAATTTGGATACTCAGCAATTGGCACGCACTTATGATGGTTGAAGTCTCCACACTATAGGAAAGATGTTGAGACTCTAGGAAAAGGGCAGAGAAAACCAACAAAGGATTAGGGGACTGGAGGATAAAACATACGAAGAACGGTTACAGGAACTGGGCATAGCTAGTCTAGTGAAAAGAAGGTCCAGGGGAGACATGATAGCAGACTTCTAATATTTGAAGGGGTCTCACAGAGAAGGAGAGGGGATCAACCTATTTTCCAAAGCACCTGAAGGCCAGACAAGGAATAATGGATGGAAGCTGATCAAGGAGAGATTCAACCTAGAAATGAGAAATTTCCTGACAGAATAATCAACCGATGGAACAGAAGTTGCCTTCAGACGTTGTAGGAGCTTCATCACTGGAAGCTTTCAAGAAGAGACTGGACTGCCATCTGTCAGAAATGGTCTAAGGCAGACATGTCAAACACAAGGTCCCGCAAAGTGGTTTCATGTGGCCCACGAAGCCATCCTGGAAACAGTGAGGGAACGGCCCCCTCTGCCTTGGCCCTGGCCCAGTCCGGCTGGGAGCCAATGTACAATTTTGTGGTGGCCATCTATGCTGAAATGCATTCAGTCTTAGCTCCACAAGGCTGTCTGGAAACAGCGAGGAACCAGGAGAACCTTGAGCAGCAGCCTTGAGGAAGTGGGACTGGGTTTGGTGTCGTGGGTGCTCAAGGGCCAGGCTGAGCATTTGACCTCTGCTGCCCAGGGCTCCGGGCAGCCCACACCACCATCCAGCCCCCCCCCCCCGCATGGCCTGAGAGGAACAGTGAGGCTCCTCCAGTGGACCATGCCTTGGCACTTGCCCCGGTCCCACCCCCTTCTGCCAGAGACCCTCAGATCTGTCCCACTCCTGCCCAGGCCCCCCACAGGCACCCTTGATGCAAACGATGTAGAGCTGGCTACGCCCACCCAGTAGGGCACACCCACTCCATCCACGCCTACCCAGCAGGCCGCACCCACCCGGCCCCCTGAGGGCAACCGCAATGCTGATGCGGTCCTCAATGAAATTGAGTTTGACACCCCTGGTGTAGGGTCTCCTGCTTGGGTAGGGGTTTGACCTAGAACAGGGGTAGGCAACCTCGGCTCTTTTATGACTCGTGGACTTCAACTCCCAGAATTCCTGAGTCAGCATGGCTGACTCAGGAATTCTGGGAGTTGAAGTCCACGAGTCATAAAAGAGCCGAGGTTGCCTATCCCTGACCTAGAAGGTCTCTTCCAACTCTGTTGTTCTAAATAACTGTCCTGGGAGGTCCCCTTTTCTCACCTTCTGACAAGCAAAGTCAGTGGGGAAGCCAAATTCGCTTAGCAACCATGCTACTAGCTGAACAACTGTGATGATTCACTTAAGACTGTGGCAAGAAAGGTCATAAAGTGGAGCAACACTTACTTAACTGTCTTTGCTTAGCAACAGAAATTTTAGGACTCAAATATTGTCGTTAAGTATTATCTGAAGTCAAATTCAAGGCAGAATCCATTGAAACGTATCTGGAATATTAAAAGTTGGTGAAGTTATGCAGCAGTAGAAGGCCCTGGGTTTTTAAGCCTGGAGGGTTCTACCTTTGCAGGTTTTCAAGCAAAGAATGCATAACCTTTCCTGACCTGGGCATTGGGTTTGACTAGATGACCTCTAAGGTCCCTTCCCACTCTAGGACTGGCTCACCCCACTGAAAGGTGCAGTAAAGAGCTAAAAAAAATGTTGTTTCCTGCGTGGACAATGGTTGTCTGGATCCCCATTAAGGCAAGCTAGATTTTTCAGGCTGATGCAGGTTGCCCTCCTGCTTTAGCTACTCACCGGCTGAGGGTGGCAGAACTCCTCCCTTGAAAACGGTGAGAAAATGAGTGAGGGGGAAAAAAACCCCACGCTTAGGCAGTTTTACACGACCGCCCTGACACGTGTTGAGTTACTCGTGTGTTATGTGGACAGCGAGAACGAGGGGGAGGTTGGTAGTGTTGATCTTCCGGCTTGTGGCAACCCAGAAGTATTCGAGCTGGTCTAT